CCCACCCCCACATGACAACAAATGCCCTGTATGTAGAGATAAATTAGGAAAAAGCTGAAGTACAATGAGGGGTAGATAGATGTGTCGTTATTGACAGATATATGATTATGTAATGTAATGATCATGTGACTAACCTGCTATAACATTAACCAATGACAGCATTAGAAATACCCCAAAATAAAGACCTACACGAAATGTGACCAAGTCTCCACTCTGTCAAGATTACAATAACAAAGAATTTGTTAAATATTAAGGAAATTAATGATGGAGTTTGAGAGCATTTTTTGTAACTTAAAAATGATATTTCACTCTAGGATTCTTTGATTGCAGTAACCTCATTGCAGCCTCTTGGGAAAGGGTTGGTGCCATTTAACAAACGATTTCTCAATATTATGAGCATCCATTATTAATGGCACCAAAATTAATGATGGAGTTTGACAGCATTTTGTAACTTAAAAATGATACATCACTATGGGATTCTTCTATTGCAGTTACATCACTGCAGCCTCTCGGGAAAGTGTTGGTGCCATTTAACAAAATATTTCTCATTATTAGCATCCATTATTAATGGCACCAAGATGGCCGCCATGTTTTTGTCTTTTGACTCTCTTGGGAATACTTGCAACCCATCAATAGGCATATAAAAGAATTTGTATTTGGTCTTCACATTACGTCATGGCAGCCATATTGGTGTACAGTAAGTTACAAAAGATTCATTAGAAGAGGTTACATTCATTATTGCTGCATTACCATGAATCACTTACCAATTCTTTCCCTAGGGGAGGTACCCTAAGTCGATTCATTGCCTTTGATCGGTTACCCTGTTCTAACTCAGTTATGAATAAATTCTAAAAAGAATGGATAACAAAAGATGTTAGCAAACAGAAAGTAGAACACATCTACAACTATTTCTGCTTACATGTATGGCTTTTTATTTCTCTTTTCTCATTCCCTTTCCTCCTATTTGTGCCCCAGTCTTCATTCTTTTTTTTTATTTTCCTCATTTCATTCATTGCTTTGACTCCCCTTAGTTACCGTTGCTATGTTCCTCAAGCTCAACACATTTGCTAGTCTAATATCTAAGAATTTAAGGGCGCTTCCCATTAAGTCGAACTGACCAGTCCGAGCGCCCAGTTCTCAAATGGTACCTGTCAGTTCTATAGAACTGGTTGACCGAGTTCTAAAAACTAATAAGAACTGACACGTACCTTTTGAGAAATGGCTGCTCAGACTGGTCACTTTAACTTAATGTTAAACACACTAAGATCATGGAAAATTGATTATCAATTGTTTCAATTGTTTACCGCTTGTGAAAAGAAAAGAAAATGGCCTCATAATCCTTGTAGTACTCTTCAAAACTGCTTCTGTTTGTGGGGCAATATTTTAATCCCACTGGGAAAACTACTGCCATGATGATTGGTTTGCTGTTGTGTGCGTCATCTTTATATTTTTATCCCAGAAGTCATTTATTTATTGTTGGCCAAACAGCCCTTTTTGGCACCTGACATGCATAACTTTGCTGTATAAGAATTAATGAACCATAAATATTTAATTATGATGTATAATGTTTCTCACCTCTACTTCTAGTATAATATCATCTACTGTTTTGTTAGTGTAAAAGTTTGCAGTCTCCACCTTAGTCTGTCTGTACTGAACTCCATTAGTGGTATCAAAAATCTGCAATCAAAGCCATAATTTATGTATGAATATATACATGTACACTAGGGTATATRAATATACTTAATGTTGCTCAATTACCTTTAATAATTGCTCCCTTCTCTACCCTCCTCCCCAGCTCTTCCCTCTCCAAAGCATCACTATGCTGGCTGCCTTCAATCTGAGCCACCAGTCTGTACAATAGTCCCCTTTACAGTTACCTGCACCCAATTTTTGCCGATCCTATTATTTTTTTCATTCCCAAATGCACCACAGGGTTCCCAGTAAGCTCATTTCAACTGTTGAATCAGTAAAAAAAAATCTTTTTTTAAATCTGACCTACCGACCCCAATTATTTTTCTCATGCAACAGGAAACACACTTATGTTTTTGTTTGGCCTAATTATAAAACTTTCATTCATGGATCAAGTAAAATCACTCTAGTTTTTCCAACCTTGTCATGTTTCTTGAGAATTTTTCTGAATCCTGTAAAATTTAATTGCTGTGAAATAAAAAAGAAAAGAAAGAAGATACAATTGACACAGGAATCAAATTTCAAATAGACCTAAAATATCGAGGCATACTCTTCAAAACATTTTCCCATCCTAAGTAAAATTTCTAAACTTGCTATTGGATATAATTATACAGTAACTTGGTTTCAAAAAACTTCAACCATAATTCCAAAAATCTCAAAATTATTCACAAAATCCCAAGTAGGAATGAACTTGCAAATTCAGTGCGAAGTTGGTTCACACTGACTTTGGGAAGGTATTAAATAGCTTTTTTCCCATTTACTTTAAAAGCTTCCACTAATTCCATTATTTGTTTTGATATTTTCAATCCTGTATCCTAGAATACTGGACCAGGGTCATGGAACACTGCCCACTCCGAACAGCCAATCAGAATGCACTTTTTTTTTTTTAGGCTGATATAAATAGACTGGGGAAAAATCTACCTGGTAGTTCTGGATCAAGACAAGGCTCAAGTAGAACTCACTGAAGGCCAGCTTCAGGTCATTGATGGTTTTTGCCTTAATCTTGACTTTCTTTTTATCTGGTTTAGTGGCCAGGGTTAGTTTACTTCCTGTTCGTAAGTTTTTTAAGCTTGATCCCTCTTTGATAAGGGATTCCGTTACATAAAGCTCACTTTTGAGAGCAGTGAATTTACGCTCTGCTTCAGCAATTTTCTCTGAAAATAATTTGCCATAAAAACTATTAAATAATGACACTGAGTAATACAGGTGTAATTTTATAGTGAATAAAGGTTGCCGCCTTTAACCTCTGGTATTTTGGGCTCAACATCTGGACAAGAATACAGTTTTTTAAGTCCTTGATCCTCCCTTTTCAGCCCCAACTCTGGACTTTCCTCTCGCTGACTAGCAATCTATGGCATTCAGCCATCAGTAGTTCAATAACAACCTGTCATTGAACAATTTCAGGCTGAATTATAACTTGTCTGGTCAAATCTTTGCTTTGCTAGTCATTTCGACCAGTAACATTTAGACAGAGGTATGACCAAGCTAAAACTAATTTGGCCAGTGATCCTGACCAGCGACTATGCTCAGTTACTGACTACTGTATATTTAATAATTTATTTATTTGTACTATTAGAACATTCAGTACCTGCAAAAAAGGTATTGATCTTCGACAGTTCTTCATCGCAGTACTGAAACCATTCATCTTGAAATTTATTAAAGAATCTCTGCACAACAGCTTCAGCAGTTTCTAAAAAAAATAATCACAACATGATCAGCCCAGAGATAATTAATATTTTAGGGTTCAATCTGTGAGTTAGCTGTGCCCTAGCTGACTTTGATCAACCCAAAGGGTGTTTTAGGAAAGATTGTCAAAGAAAACTTGCTGATCATCTACATGAGCAATGACAATTGTCAAGGATACTTGTCAAGGAAAATTTGCTCATGTACTATAGATGTGGCTTAGCTATCTTCAGAATTATACATGTAGGGTTGCTCATGTACTATAGATGCGGCTTAGCTATCTTCAGAATTATACATGTAGGGTTGCTCATNTTCAGAATTATACATGTAGGGTTGCTCATGTACTATAGATGCGGCTTAGCTATCTTCAGAATTATACATGTAGGGTTGCTCATGTACTATAGATGTGGCTTAGCTATCTTCAGAATCATACATGTAGGGTTAAGGGAATTGTAAGCCCCAGCCACAACCAATACCCAGAGGAACTCATCTAGATCTACTCCATGTACAATACCATTGTCTTGTCCCCCATTTCTACTTACCATCTTTGGGTGGCATTTTCTCAAAAGCAGCATATAACACTTCCTTGAGTTTCTGAAAGAAAAATAATCAGACAAATGCCTCAGTGGTCACATGCCACTGACTGACTATGAAACAAAGCATTACGACAAGAGGTCTAAGGCTAAAGGGTGGAAATGATAACACCAATATAAAAAATTTCATGGTATATTATAGAATTACACTCTACTGCCTTCAAACAATTGTTTCAAGTTTATTTTATTGCATAAATATTTGATTATTATTATTGATGTTCCTTGAAATGCTAGTCGGCAAACCTCAAACATCAAATTTCGCAATTCAACAATAATGGTAGTAATTAGAACCAATGTTTACAAGAAAAAATGGTTCTCACACTTCCATAAAGTCACAGCTTACAGTAATCACATCAGAAAATGTAACTTTGTTTTCGAATAAAGCCCCACATTGGGATGGTGTTAGTAATCAACTTACGGCTAAAAAGTACCCATTAAAAGGAAAACGGACGACATTTCGTTAGATTTAGAAGGATTAACAGATAAACAGCTGAGATCAAAGATTTGTCAAGATGGATCCATTCTTAGCTCTGCTTGGAAGCATAAATATAATAAACATGCCTACATATTTAAGCTTATTATTAACACGTACCCGACTCCGTAGATAATATTAAAATGAGCAGTAGTTATTCATAGAGTTAATAAAAAACATCATCAAACGATTGCTTTTCGATAACAAATAAATTTAAAGAAGATCAACGATATATCAGATAACCAAGTGAAGGGTCGATCGTCTCGAAGTAAGCTCATACAACGATCCCAATTTGTACATATTTAAACAATCCCCTTTTCAAACCGATCCTAAATGACTATACATTAACAAAGGAAAGAAAATTGAATAATTCAAGGCGTACTGTTCGGTAAATAAAGATAAAACATCATATTAATTCGAGACTATTAAAAACAGACCACCTGTAAGGAAAAATCTACGAAGACTTTTTAAAAATGTGGCTGCTTTGCTGCTGTTTTGATGATTTCTTACCTCGTATTGAATGTATTGAACTCGCCATTCGGGAGTCAAATGTGTACCTAGATGCTCTGTGAACTTCATCGCTAGTTTTGATAATTCTAACAGTTTTATTTGGGTCTAAACAAGACGTTTTGTTTTAGTGAATCCGGGTCAGATTTGCCTTTCATCGTCATGTCATGTTTGTTTGGGAGGCTGGACTGTGTTACACTGGAGCACGTGACAGTTGGTCTACGAGAAGAGACTGGGAATAGCGTGACAAATAATGAGCGTGACATGAATAAGTGGGATTCCTGTGGGGATTTTGTAATCTTTTTAAAAAGGTGCAAATCAAATAGAAAGTGGAATGGAATTAATCTTTTTAATGCAGTCAGGAGATAGAAGAGATAGGAGATTTATTATTAGCAATTACAAATGTTGAAAACCCAGGGCTGTCAACTCTCCCGGATAAACCGGGAGTCTCCAGATTTTGGACCGTGTCTCCCGGTCTCCAGATTAGAGTCTCAAATCTCCCGGATAATCGCTGAAGCTGACCATTTCTTGTCTTGTTAGACTAGACTTTCACAACCATAAAATTCCAATTATTTCATGTTGTTTGTGTTATTTTACATCGCTAACAAAATCAAAACGTTCCTCATGGTTGTTCTTCCAAGCAGGCCATTGTAATATAAGCGATAATCTGATTGGTCAGAAATAAACCAATCACATCAAATGTTACAAAGCGGAAGACGTCTTTTTGCGAGCTTTTTGACGCGCTGTGACGTCATGTCCCTTTCCTATCAATTCTCCAGATTTGAATATCCTGGGAGTTGACAGCCCTGAAAACCTTTTGTTTTCACTGCTGTTCGCACTCTCAGAGTCTTCCGGCTTTTTGGTCAGCGGGCTCGTTAGCTGATTCATACGCCGCTCTTTTCACCGCCGGGCCCAGTACTTCATCAGTTTCCATTCGGCACATAAGTAAAGCGGAGTCTGGATCGAAGTGATCTCTAAATAATAATTGATTGGTTGCAAATATTCCCAAGAGAGTCAAAAGACAAAATTAACATGGCATGGTGGCCATTGTGGTGCCATTAACAATGAATGATTATTAGAAATCTTTGGTTAAATGGCACCAACATGGCCGCGATGACGTAACGCGCGATCAAAGAATATATAGAAGATGAAATCACTGGTTAAATCACGCAGGTGGGAGGGAGAAAGTCTTCCTCACACCTTGGTCATTTTCAGTTTCCTGTGGGATAAACCAATGGGAAGCAAAATATTCAGTAACACACATCCTAAAACGATGCGTAATACCACTTGCACCATCTCTCGCCATGACCATAATACTACTTGGGCTCCCTGTGGTTAGATGGTCCCTTTGCTCTTGGGAATTGAATTCTTTCTTAATGTAAAACGATTGCATTTTTCCTGCCATCTAACATAGCTGCCGTCACGTGATCCCTCTTTTTGTTAATTTGGGAAAAATTTATTCCTCCTCCCAATGACGACATACACCACATGACCCATGAACAGCAAATTAAAATCTTGGCTCCATCTCCCCTACCGGCCGCTCGTTCGCTTTTTCTTAATTACCTTAACTTGTTTACAGCTGTTGGGATAGGAAACTGAAATGATATATAATTAACATATTTTGTGCAGTGATTTTGTGATATTTTTTGTTTCGTTCCAGTCCATGACAGTTCGTAGACCAGTTAACAGGAAATTAGAGATAGATTCGTGTGATGTGGCTTGTCTACCGTTGATGCGGTCTGAACATTTAATTTTTGGCTGTTCATTATTTTAGTGACATAACAATAACAACCAATAATATTTTCATTTAGGAGGCTTCTGAATTAAACTTCTGTGTTAAACTGATGTGTTAAACTGATGTTTTCATATTAAAATGAGATAGATTAATGAGAATGTAATGCAAATTAGATGAATAAGTAAGCGAATAAATAAACGATTAATGTATTAATGATAATGAATAGATGAATGAGTATGTGCAGTGAGTGAAATAAGTCAGCGTTTGTATGAGTGGATAAACGAAAGAACGACCGAACGTACAAGCGAATGGATGGATGGGTGGATGGATGGATTGTTGAACGAAATGAACAAGCGAATGAATGGGTGACTTAATTAATGGATGGATAGATGGGTGGGTGGGTGGATGGTTGAACGGAATGAGTGAGCAAATGAATGAATAAATGGAGAAATCGATGGATGAAGATGAAACTGGACTAACTGGATCGGATCCGGATGCATGCACGAATACACAACAAAATGCGAAGAGACACATTCTTTTATTAGCAGTCATAAGTTTAACCTGTATTAATTTGGCCCCAATTTTTTTTCTTCTATTAATTGACAAAAAATAGCATTAACTCAGTCAAAAGCTAAAAACCCCGTGCATCATAATTACGTCACGTAAATTTTGGGAATCACCCGCCTTAATCCGGAAAGGACCAATCACCTATCATTATTCATATTCGCGTGAGCTTGAACATGACTCCGTGGTCATCGTGCAGGCTTATATTTCAGCGAGGAAGAAATACGAAGCAAAGGAGTATTTCCGTAAGAGTAAAAAAGGAAGTTAAAAGGAACTGGGTTTATCGTACAAAATAACCCCCAGGTCGCTCGTGAATGCCTAGAAAAGTCACTGGACCCATGAGAATAAAAGGTGAGTCGATATTGTGTCTATACGCTGTTTGTTTGAAAGAGAGTTGTGTGTTTACGAAATCTTGATTCAGGTTCGAGGGGAATCTAATCTGAAGTATCAAGTTTGGACATGTTATTATGAAATGTTTAGGCAAATAAAAATATGTCTGTCAGCCAAATAGGGCCTGGGTGTGCTTAGTCTTGATCATGGCATGTAATACTGGCAGCAGCCTTCGGTTATAAGCAATACTTATACTTCTTTGAGCCCGTTGATACTATTACGGATGTTTGAATATCAGAGCTCTCTTAGTAGTGTACCTTTAAATCGTTATTAGAATATGACCTTATATAATTTATTGATGCTTTTGAATTTGACAAAGAAGAGTCCCACAAGCGACCTGAAGGACGGCATCCATATTTTCGTTTAAAAATACTTATAAAAGTGAATCATACTTGGTCCAATTTTTAAAAGAATTTTTTTAAATATCAATAATTTTATTTTCTTAATGCCTGAAAAAACATCCAACTGTCAATGTGTTTACTTTGATTGACAAGATTAATGTTTCTTCAGCATGAAATATAATTTTTTTTCTTTTTTTTCGGTTGTTTCGATTCTTTGATTTCCCTGAACCCGCTCCTGGCTGATTGCCATTGAGTTCGAAAGCTCAGCTATCATTTCATTAAAATACCACATCTAATATGTCTATCCATTCCCCATGTGTGTTCGAATTCAGACGTCGTGATGATCGATGCACTACTACGATTTGATGATTTGCTCAACTGTTAATGGCTTCACACAGGCTAGGGAGGAGCCTGGTTTAGTATTCAGGCAAGATTAAAAAAATCAGAAAGAGAGGGAAGCTGATTACAGCTCACACTTCTTAACCGGGCTTCCTGTAGATTTCACTAGTCTGTTGGGTCCTGTTTTTGTACTCTCAACGAAAGCTTATTGGCCAAGCGCGCGAAAACTGCTGTAAAGCACCATTGGCTCAAACACACACACTAATTTCAAATTAATGTAAGATCCCCCCAAGGGGAACGGGGGTTAGGAAAAGCAGGGGCGAAGTAGAGGCAAGGAGATAGCATGGAAAAATGTGTTTTGGGAAGCACGGGTTGTGATGCGGTGAGACTGCTCGCTTATTACCAAGGCGACCGAGGTTAGTCTCGCCGGGCTCGGTGTCGTATGTGAGTAGAGTTGGTCGTGTGTTCGTTCTCTTCTGTGCTGTGGTGATTTTTTTCTACGGATATTCTCTCTTTTTTTCTTCTCTCCACGAAAATCGATTTCTAAATTCTTATCCCATCTATCGGTAGCCTTATCAAGTGGGTTGCAAAATTTGCACCATCGAGTGGTGAATCCAATTAGATTTTTTAAAATATTGCTTATATCAGACGAGTTTGGTTCTAATTTGTTATTTGTATACAGGAAACATGTATCTACAAGCTGTCTTTGGATTGGTCTGTGCCACTCTCTTTTTTCAACTCTCGATGTCAGGTAAAATAGAATAAACTATGGTCAACACTAGCTACTAGGTTTGTAGACTACCTTTGACACCATCGCGCGAAAGTCGACAGAATAGACGTACATTTCTTGAAATGAAAGCTAGTGATTAAACAAGAGTAATAGGAGAGAATACCAACAAATTAAGTCCCTTTGCGCATCAGTTGCGATAACTGCTGTATTCCTCTACTAAAGCTAAAATACGCTCATTACTTCTCTCAGCATCGTACTTAGCTATATTTCAGATCACGTGTCATTCCCTTAAGTATCATTTCTTTGTTTAACGGTTGCGTTTGACAAGACACATGAATATGGATACAATTCAAACAAAGAATCTTATTCTTAAGATAATGACGTGGTTTGTAAATGCATCGCAAGACAATAAAATCGTGTTGTGAACATACCTAAACGATCGTGATAAATAGGTATCGTTACATGTATAATACTGATGTTTAGTGTTGTGCCATTTTCTTTGAAGCTAATGCTGGTAACTGCAGTACAAGTAGTTCAGCGTGCTTAAATGGTGGAACATGCGTGGACTTGAACGATGGATTTGTATGCAAATGTCAGATTGGATTCACGGGTAAGTCCGGCAGTTATGTTATTTCTTCATCTCCACCTTGTGATAGTCAATATCGATATCCCTGAGGTTTTTCCTTCCACAAGTTGTGTTTTTGTAATTTTTTTTAATAGCACCAACACCATAATCAGTAACAGCAGGTCAACCACCATTACTAACAACACCACTCTAATCATCATCTGCACCACCATCACCATTACCATCGTTGGCATCATTACCTCAACGCCGGCCGTCATCACCACCACCTTGGTCATCAACAGCAGAAAAGCCACATCAACATCATATCTTTTTAATCATATTTTTTAATCCTGTTTTTATCACCTGTTTTTTCTCCAGCGTGTTATATTTTCGTACATTGTTTCTTACACTTTGTATTATATTATTCTTTGAATTTCTCACCTGAATTTTATTTCAAACCCTAAAAACCTTATTTTGTTAACGGGAAGTAAAGGCTGAGATTGAGTAAGGGTGAAAATGTTTTTATTCTTTCTCATTTTAAGGTCTTTATTGTGACTCAAGAATACCATTAACAGAAGCGACAACAACAAAAGCAGCATCGAAAACAACAACCACAACAGCAGCAGCAACAACAACAACCACAACAGCAGCAGCAACAACAACAACAGCAGCAGCAACAACAGCAACAACAACAACAACAACAGCAAAACAACCAACAAAAAAACGACCAAAGAAAAAAGGATGCCCTAAACTACCAGCACGTTTTCCAAATGGGAAAATCTCGACCTTCAAGCGAGGATCCCGAATAATGGCTATCTATTCGTGTACAAAAGGGTTTGTGATCATTGGAGGTGATCGAATGAGGATGTGTCAACCCTCAGGAATATGGAGTGGACGCCCACCAATTTGTCGCCGCCGTAGAAGAAGTAAGTGTGATTTTTTCCGAGCTTTCAAAAGAAGAAGACTGGTAATATTGAGGTCTCATGGATTTTTAATAGTATCTTTAAATAGCTGAGTAATATAAAATTGTATGAATGAGGTTTATCAAAAGCAGCAGTATGCATCATTGAATGTGAAGGCAAAAAAATGTATACACCCACAATCCTCTGCAATTCTTGGAGTGCAACCACGTGACCGAAAATCCCTTGAGAAATCGATGTCGAAACCACCGCCATCTTGGTCGATACAATAAGAGAAGCTTAATGAGAAAAAGAAGCTTTGAATAGTCAACCAACATGGCGGCTATGACATACGGGGATTGTAAGCGATTTTTCTTATCATTCCTCAATCAAACTTTTAAAAGATTATCAAATTTTATCGCTGCCCTGAAGTAACCTTTGGGGTGATTTAAGTCAGGACACCGCTAACTCACAGATCGAATTAGAATTTAGCATGTTAGGTTTTGAGGAGGGAGGAAAACCGGAGGAAATACGAAGAACGAAAACTTGAACACTCGAAACAAGGGAGAGCCTTATAACTCTATTTAATGTTAATCATTGTTGTACTTATTTTGAATTCTATTTGGCATTATTTGCACACCACTATAGCGGGCAGACCTAACAGCTGTACGAGGCCGTATACCATCAGCAATGGTTATTATAGACGCAGGGGATTAACAGTGAACTATTACTGTAAAAGTGGATACACTCTGAAGGGACAGTCCAAGAAAACATGCATAAAAGGATACTGGAAGCCGTCATCTACACCGTACTGCAGTGAGTATAGCTAGTCGATCAATATTGTTCATGTATGTGTTCATTATACATCAGTCATAGCTATATAAGAAATCGGTTTTTGTAAACGCAGAATACACTTTTTGCTAGAGTGCAAACTATATATCCTTGAAATAGTACTAATTAGTACAACATAGCACCAATGAAACAATTGAAAATACAAGAAACACACGTGTTTAGTACTATTTTTTTGCGCTATTTTTTAGTTTTTGTGCAATTTGACGGATATATGGATTGCACTCTAATGTTCTGTTCACTGATAAAAACTTTAAAAAAAAAACATGAATATAGTATGATATGGCAATTGCAAATCCAATATCTCTGTCGCGTATTCCTTGTCATTTTATACTCTCTTCTCTGGTATTGAACAGAACGCACAAGTAGATGCAAAGATCCAGGTGTTCCTCATCATGGTCGTCGCTTTGGAAGCACGTTCCTGGCCGGTTCTCGCGCGCGGTTTTTATGCAATGAGGGTTATGAGTTGGTTGGTGAGGAATCCATTAAGTGCCGTTCAGACGGGTCCTGGAACAACAAAACACCAAAATGTACCAAGAAAGGTAAGAAGATTCTTTAAAGATATGCAGGTCGAGGGAAAAACTGTTTCAGGGGACACATTTCCAAGATGGCGTCTATTTTGTCTCCTAAAACAGTCCCAACATGCACTGCAATGCCAATTCGACCMAGTTTTTTCTTCAACCTCGGAACGGCTGGTAGAACTTATGACTTATATTTTTGCTCACAATTTTTTCTCTCGATCTATATCTATAAATACCCATTCATAAACTAGGGTGGGAAAGCATTGTTAAATTGTAGCAAGGATATGACTCAGGGCTGAGAGGCGCGAGACAAGTAGTGATATAACAACAAAATGGAAGAGGGTCTACTTTTTTTTTTACTTTTAGTTAAAACTAGCATCATAAAGTCATGACATCTTTTACATTTGCAGGTCTAAAATGTTAGCTATTTTCACGGGGACCCCAAGCTTGGGTTTCACATCTAAATGTACAATTTCTTTTCAATTAGTTTCGATCCTTTATGACTTTTTCGAGCAATAGAAAACGTAGGCTTTTTAACAAAATTCTATAGGATGAAAGAGTATAATTATTTATTTGACCAAATTCCCACGCCAATCTCAGTCCTTCGTTCACCTTTGCTAATATTATATAACCTCGTAAAAAAACATTCCTTATTCAACAGATCCTCTTCGAGATCTTAAAAATGCTGCCAACGGTCTTCGTCGACACTTCGTTAATAAACTCGAACTTCTAACGACTGACAGTCGCGCACGTTCCGGGCTGTCTTCAGGAGCTGCAGGACTCGACCTTGTGTTTGTTTTCGATAGTTCAGCAAGCGTTGGATCCATAAACTTCAGAAAAGGAATTGAATTCGCGCGCACGATTATCGAGGAGTTTGGTATCTCGACCTCTCCAACTGGAACTCGAGTGGCTGTTGTCGTGTTCAGCAATGAAGCCAGGGTTATCTTCAACCTTAAAAGTAACCGCATTGTTGATAAAGATATAGCCATCATAACACTTGGTAAGAACTCTTGAAACCTTACCATGGGTGTTTACTATTTAATAGATTATAAGAGCGGAAAAATTTGACTTGAGACGAATGGCACACGCTTCGTGGATTACCTCAATCGGAAGATTTAGTTTTCCGGAACTTTCCGATCCATATATAATAATTCGAAATATAACAATTTTTTTTTTCTCCTCAAGCAAACCTTAAACTAGAAGGAGGCGGAACAGCCACTCGCCTGGGTCTTCAAAGCGTCATCGATAGTATTGTTCCTGAAGTCCGCAACAACAGCAAAAAGGCGCTGTTTCTCATCACAGACGGTAAATCAAACAAGGGCGGTAGCCCCTCCAAGCCTGCTAAAGTACTTCGAGATGGCTACAACTTTGAGATATTTGCTATTGGAGTTTCTTCTCAAGTTTTCGAGGAAGAGCTGCGGGACATCGCCTCCGAACCCTACCGAACTCACGTTTATTTGATGAAAAATTTCAAGTCGCTGGACACGTTAAAGGAGCTGATCACCAAGCAAGGAACAAGTAAGATTAGTAATAATATTTGTCAAAAACTACAACGTTACCGAGTTAAATAAAGGAGATCTGCAAAACATCGTTTGCGCGCAGTTTAAAAGCTTTAGAATCGGTCTGCGAATTGGAGTGAAGACTCGGTCCTTGTTCTAGACGCCTTACGCAGTTGCACGTACGATTATATAATAGTCTTTGAATGCTTTGTACGTCATTTCGTTCTAACACGCGTCCTAATTGGTCTAGTGTGATCTCGTACCAAATCAGCCAGCGAAATAATAAACCAAAACAATGAAAGATATCTGTCAACTGGAGAGTCAAATGCAGACATGATCGAGTAGAAGTTAAGCTGCACGCAGTCCAAGGTTGAATGAATAAGGGAATAGGTTGTTTTAGATAAACTATAGCGACAACATTTTTATATTTCCAAATAATTGCTGGATTAACTGTGTCAAGTCCACGCGGTAAATAGCAAGAGATTATATAGATCTATATAGATTAATATAACATCCTGTTTTACAACTTTAAGTGACACTCACAACGTTTCATTTGGAAATGACTGAAGTAATAAGAGCGATGGCACCTAGTTCAAAAAACGTTGTCGGCTTGGAGATCGGTTCGGAATTCTCATATCCGAGACCGAGTAGCACGATGCAAATGGTTAAATTAGTTTTTAACTTAGTTTCCTTTTAGATTCGACCTTTGAGTTAGACATGTATTTTCTCGTATTTCAGCCATAAAACATAAAAGAGCAAACATTCCGCTTACTCTCAGATCGGCCATTGCAAATCTTGAACCGACATTTTTTAAAAATAGGTGTAAATGCACTTGCAGAATTCTGGCCAACATTATTGGCCAAAGAAAAACAACAACAGAATTGACAGCAGTCTTGTTTCAGGATGAACTAAATATTTGCGCGCAACAGTTGCAGAGGCGGACACACGGTTAATTGACTCAATATTCAATATTTAAATTCAATATCATTTTAGACTATACCGAGTGCGGCGTGGCTGGAGACACCCAGCTACGTGGTGATCCTGAAAAACTAGCCCCTGTCGTTGTTGGCCGTGAGGCAAAGGCTGGAGCCTGGCCCTGGATGGCAGCAATCTACGTCAACGGCAGTTTTCGTTGTGGAGGAGCGTTGATTGCAAAAAGATGGGTTCTAACAGTCGCACACTGCTTCGATTTCCAGAACAAGATCAAACCGTCTGATGTAGTTGTTCGTTTAGGTAAGTGCAATATTCATTTCCTGTGTTTAATATAAATACTTAGTTTATTACGTTTGGGGATGGGGGTATTTTGACGGGGCACTCCTATTCAGCTGAGGCTGATTTAAATGAAAGCCTTTGACATTTAACATATTTATTATCATTATTACTTTTTAAAATAATTTTGTTCTCCTTTTATATTCGTTGTTGTTATTGATTTTATTATTTTATCATCATCATCATGATCATTATCATCCACAACAACAACATCATAATCATCATCAACCACAACATTATCATCATCATCATCATCATTATCATCATCACATCATCAGCATCATTATTATCTTTTTTGTTATTATTATTATTGTTGTTATTGTTCTGTGAAAACCTGGTGAAACAATTTTTGTCTTTAAAAGTCGACCAATTTTGTTTTGTTTTATTTGTTTTGTCCAGGTGAACACGACAGAACCCTAGAAGAAGGTAGCGAACAAAACGTCGGGGTCAAAAGGATTTTCAAACACCCACAAGCTCGACAAACCTCTCTGGATTACGATCTTGCTCTCGTTAAACTAAACCACAAAATTAAACTAACAGCATATGTACGAACCATTTGTCTGCCCAAACAGAAAGACCGTACGTTAGTAAGGCCATTCAAGTACGGTGTCATCACTGGATGGGGATCCACACAACGGGTAAATTGTGGCGATAGGCGAAGATAGGTCATTCCGAGACGGATATGGTTTCACCTACTACAAACAACATTGAATCAGTCTCAACACTAAGGTCCATGTTCTTGACGAGAATAAGAAGCAGAAACACAAGTCATTCCAGCTATTCTTGGATCTTGGAATGACCTATCTTTTGTTGCTTTTCGCCTATCGTCTATTCATCGCCTTTGGCGATGACAACGTTTTTTTGAAAAACGTGTATATATTGACCCTGATCACAACGGGGCTATGTTTATTAACCTCATCCTGGAGCGCTTGAATGCAAGGCTAACGGGGGGATGGGGGATTCTATTGCCCCAGTCAAAATAGCGGCCGCAGTAGAAAGAACCATTTAGTAGAGTCGCGAATCTTGTCCCTTTTGGCTTGTAAATAGACCATGATATTCTCGTCCTTGTCTCTAGCCTCCCACTATGTCTATCATATACGTTCTCAATTAAGGAATAAAACATGTTTGTGCGTAGGTCAGGTCAGTGTACTTTGCGCGCAAGGTGGCCTATCAAAGCGGACGTATCGCGAAAAAGTATATCACAATGTGTGTTTTTTTATTCATTATCAGACTGATGACCATGATCACAGCTTTGCTGCCTATCCGGTTCTCAAGCAAGCCAGACTACCCTTCGCGTCGAGTCACACGTGTCAAACGAATTCTTCCATTCCTATAACACCAAGAATGCGATGTGCTGGAAATCCTTCAGTCGGTAAAGACGCTTGTAAAGGAGACAGTGGTTCGCCACTTGTTGTAAGTATATAATTATATTTCAGTAGTGCTGCAGAACTCATTCGTTTTGGTTAAAAAAATTTCCATTACCGACCACGTTTCTTGTGTTGAAATTAAATTGAATTATTTGCTTGAGTTATATCCATATTCATGTGTCTTCTCGTACGCAACTGTTAAACAAAGAAATATGATACTCTAGGGAATGACAGGTGGTCTGAATTGGTAAAACATTTTGCACCAAAACAAGTAAGATCTTAAAGATGTGAATTGTGTTTCGTGAAGCAAAATCTCTCGAGACGCTATTTCGAGCCCGTGACCTCCAGTTTGCTAGTCAGACGCTCTAACATCTTTTCCCCTATTACTGACAGTAATAAATGATTGGTAATTATTTATTGATATCGATGTGTTATTTCTCGCCAGATCTACAGACCCGAACGTAACTGGGCAGTGATCGGTTTGTCAAGCTGGGGAGAAGGTTGCGCACACAATGGCAAATACGGTGTGTACGCCGACATGTTGAATCGAGAGTACCTTGCTTGGATTGCGAAGAAGGCAAGAGTTGTGCCAACAATCTAGACCATGCAAGACAGAGTCACCAATGACGTTAACCTTAAAACCAGAACTTACGGCTCTCACTCATGGAATAGAGCCTGCTAGAACTATGCTTTTTTCATTCTTTTATGCTAGATGTTAAAAAACCCTGCAAAGATGCAATCTCTGTGGATGAGAGTAGGGTAGACGAAAGGGATCCTAAAAATGACTACGCATGCGTAGTGGTGTTCAATTTTTGATATACGAACGCCATTATCTAGATTGATACAACGAAATATTTCGATAGTTAAATAATCACTTTCACAGTTCCCTGTGCCATCTTTAAAGGTAGCCGTGCCTTTGCATCTAAGCGAGAGGAACGGTGAGCTTGCAACAATAAAAACCTTTCGTCTTCCTTCGTTGCAAAGGCACGGCTACCTATAAAGATAGCGCCGGGAACTATGAGGGGACTATAGAGGCTTTGCACCATCGCGTGAAGGCATCCATGTTAGATGGCAGGATCGAACAATACAATCGTTTTACATGAGAAAGAATTCAATTCCCGAGAGCAAAGGGATTTTATTGTTCTGCCATCCAGCCACAGGTAGTCCAAGCTGTATTATGGGCGCCAGCACATGATGGAGTAAAGCCTTTATTTGTTAGCTTATTCATTCGTCGTTTTTTTGTAGCCACAATATTGTTGTGTAGTATAAATGAGAACAAGAAAACAAAACGGCGGAGCGTTTTTGAAAGTGGAGGGGCTCAAATCGAAACCTATGTAGGAAAAATAAAGATAGTCTCTTGCGGCACAGGCAACCCTCTGGAGAAATCTAGCCTAGTTTCGGAAACATAGAATTGTAGAGCTTTGATTCTTCACTCAAAATACCCTATTCCTCTGAATAAGTGGGGGAGTCTCCAGCCCCCTCGACTCCGTCTTCACATAAAAAAACTTTTAACTTTTAATGATATCGATTTAACTAAAAAAACTATATACTCCTTTTTATTATCAAGCTGTAATATTGCCGACTGTATGCTCATGTAGATGTTCATGAGAAAAGTAGGAAATAATTTCACTTTCTAGTAAAGATAAAAAATAAAATCTATGTAAAAATAAATAAATAAATAAAAAAAAAACAAAACAAAACAAGAAAAATACCTCGTAATTTTTATTCACGTTGGAAGCGTTCAGTGGCATTGACCAATGATAATAATGACAGGCCACATACGGAGTGGGGGGGGGTGGGGTGGGGGTGGGGAGACTGAATAGTACCGAAGATTATTATTATTCCAAGGTTGAGAAAGAGACTGGGTCGAGTTGGCATTGCATTGTGTGAATATGTTATAGGAGAAAAATGATTTTAAGTTGGCGTCTTTTTCGTCCACTAAAACATTCCTACAATGCACATTGGAGTGGCTAGAAGTTTGGTAGCAAAAAGATAAAGTTTGGCACGACTTTGATAAACTGGTACATTTCTTGCACTCCGAGGAACAACAAAAAGGAAGACACAACCAGATAATTTTGATATAAACTAATAATTTTGATTATTATTATCAATTAATTACTGATAACTAATATATTTATTTCTATAATTTTCGTTCTTGTATGTTTATATGTGCTTAATTGTTGCTTTGTCTGAAATGGCGTCCATAATAAATAGTTTTTACTTTCTATATTCACATACTGAATTATAATTTAAATATTCTATAAAATATTCTATTCGAGCCCCATAGAAAAAACAGGTATGAATTTGAATATACTAATGGGAATATGAAAGCGAAACTTCAATGCAAATAAGATGTTTTCGAAAATGTAAAAAGTTGAATGCAATGCCTAGATATTTTTGGATTTTGCTTTTCCTTGCTTTCCACTCTAGTGCAAAAAAGTTTTCCCGTTTTATTTCACTTCAATCTCTTTGAAAACTTGTAGTTCATTTTTTGTCCAAGCTGATGTCTCAAATGTTTAACAAGCAAGTAAAGAAATGCCTCTAAATGGAATGAAATATATGATCTGCAATATAAAGACCTCTTGCCTGAAGCAAAAGTTGCATCTATCTCTTATACGGAATATTTTTTAATGTTTTCTATCGAATGAAAATACGTAAAGGAATTCCCCAAAATGGTGTTCATGCATGTAAAGTAAGGTGCTGCTGTCATGGATACCTGAAAACAATGAAGAAAACAGATAACAATTAACAGAATCAAACAACTGTACGACAAAGCCATACAAGGACATGCACGCTCGTCGAGTGTAAAAACGAACTTTTATTAAAAAGACTATGTGCTATAATAAAGGTACGGACAAACGGTGCAACATTGCATGCTACATTGCACGCAACAGAACAGTTGCAGCGTGTGTCTACCCCTGAATCTGACAAACAAAAATCTGAAGTTGAATCGCGCTCTACCCTTGCAACATTGCGAGCAGAAACTTTCATCGTGTAAACATGGCTGCAACATTGCGTGCAACATTTTGAAATTTCCAACCAATCAGCTTGCACCAAATTTATAACTGCTGTCCAAATATCTTAACATAGCAGGCTGACACAAGCGATGTTGCGTGATTTTGTTGCAATTTGTGTCACCCCGATTCAAATTTGTTGATTGCAATGTTGCGTGCAATTTTGCACCGTGTGTCAGCACCTTAACCGTCTCCTGAAACATTCTCTTTTGATATACTCGCAATTATTTAGCGACCTTAGTGAAAGACCATCTATAGATACCTTGCAGTAGGAATGCAGCTTAATTTGGAGGACATAACAAATAGGTTTCCAATTCTCAGGAGATTGGAATTCTTTCGTTTTGTCTTCCAAATTGAGCTGCTTTGATGTCACATGCAAGGGGTCTATTGCTGCCATATTGATTGACATAACAAAAGACACCAAGTCTAACGTACTTGTCAAGTCAACCAAAATGGCGTCACAAGCACTAACCGACATTAGGAATAACGATACGGCAATACAAGGTCCAACACTGGATCAATCACTAGAGCTAATAATACGAATCTAAAAATAACCACTCTAAAAATAACCAGCCTAAAAATAACCAGTCCGAGCAAATGAAAACTCGAGATAAGGGTACTAGTTGTAGTACTAGCTCTCTCCGGTTAATAAGTCCCGGCTCAGTATAGCTATAATATTAGAGCGTTTTAGATTGACGTTTACGGCAAACGTGTAACGTCAGTTGATCAGTGAAAAATTCTTTTAAATAACTGAAAAGGAATCGCATAAAAATCCAAGTAGTAGGAAAACAAAAGAATATTTGTTTGTGATATGAAAGTTTGCAAGAGTTAAAGTGAAATACAGGAAAACAATGAAAACGTGGTCACGTTTGCCGTTTGCGGGAAGAAAAAAAGGCAATCTAAAACTCCCTATTGTTTAAACGTAATTTAAGGTTTTCTCACCGAGTAGAAAGGCCTATCATAGGCTTCCAATGCTGCCATAGTCATATGCAGGGGTTTTAGGACATTTTATCCACGTCTCGAACCCTTTGGATTTACTAAAAAATAACATTTTCAAGTGATGTTTAATGGTTTGTGTTCAAGATATTCAATATAGGTTGGATTGGATATTCAGGTCATGCGGTTAATATATATGCTTGTATTGCAGAGTTTTCGTTATTGATATTATTTTTGTCATTATTTTGATTATTTTGATTATTTTATCTTATACTGTTGTTATTAACATTGTTGTTGTTATTTTCAGTATTTTCAGTTATGATCATTGTTGTTGTTATTTTCAGTAGTTGTTATTTTTACATAATAATGTTGTTGTTATTGCTATTGTTACTGTTATTATGACTGTACCTTTGTTATTATTGTTGTTATTCTCACTGTTTTTATCCTTAATCGGTTGTTATTGTTACTTTTGTTAGTTAATGATTGAACATCGGTTAATATCATGGAAAATCGTATGATCAACTCAGAAATAATGACAAATTCATTACTCGTCTCAAGTAAAAGAAAGAGAGTAAGATTGGAAAAATTAGAAAAAGTGGATAAAGAAAAAGGTGGTGCTGGTGGAAATGAAGATGATAACAAAAAGAAGAACACGTTGATGAAGAGCAACAAGAACAGAAAAAAACCCCAGAAAACAAAACAAAACAAAAAAACAAAAACAAAAAAAAAAAAAAAAAAAAAAAAAA